CACACAATAAAAAAAAAAAGAAATTAAAAAAAGAAAAAAGAAAAAGAAAAAGTAAGAGAAGTACTTCATACGAATACAATACGCCACACACTCACTCATCACATAAAACTTCCATTTCCATACTTAGCTACTGCTGCAACTCTTCCCATCATCACCCAATTCTTCTTTCACTGTTTGCCCTCTTTTTGAGTTTTTCTCCTACCTTAATTTCTTTCTCCCCCAAACCAATTTTTTTTTTCTCTCTCTTCACGCAACACACGCCACATACACACACATACACACGCACTACAATATACACAGATTATTCCCTGCCCGGCTCAGTATAGCAGCAGCTGCTTTACTCCCATGGCCGAGGGATTTGAACCGTACCACGTCCCGCAGCAGAGCCGCCGGGACAAGCTCCGAGTAACCACCCACCACCACCACCACCCGCCGCCTCCACCGCCGCATCCCGTCCCCGACGGCTTCAACCCCTGCTCCGGCCTGCTACCTCTCTACGAACCCCTCCTCCTCCTCCCCGATTTCACCGCCGATGCTCACCGCAGCGCCGCCGCCAAGGCGGAGGGCGCGAGCCTGATGGCCTTCCTGGGAGGTGCCTCCGCCGCCCACGCGTTCGTGAATCCGAACCTCTCCCCGCAGCTAAACCCTAGCTCCGTCCAGGACGTCAATGGCGGCGGCCCGTACGCTTTCCCCTCTCCGACCCAATGCTATCAATCGTTTAATCCCGTTCAGGATCCCAACGCCACCGGCCAGAGTTTGTCCCTTTCTCTGTCTTCGACCCACGGCGGCGACCTGAATCTCCCACCGGAGCTGAATCTGCAGAAGTACGATTTCGGTCCTTGCAGACCCGGATTCGGCCCGATTGAGTTCTCGAAGAGTACGGTTCCTTTAGGGCCCTTCACGGGCTACGCCTTTGTTTTGAAGGGATCGAGATTTTTGAGGCCCGCCCAGCAGCTGCTGGAGGAGCTTTGCGATATGGGTCGGGTCGTGTGTATGGATAAAATCGGCCCCGACCCGGGATTGCTGGATCCTCCACCTCTGGATAACTTAACAGGGGTTGGGATTATGGATGATAGCGGCGATGGGGGCGAGCAGAAGAAGAAATCGAGGTTACTTTCTATGCTCCACGAGGTAATTTTTTTTAGCTAATCTGTGAATATCTTT